ACTCTTCGGATAAGTCAAACGGTTAGACAGTTGGCACTGATTGCTCATTGGCTAGTTCAAGGTCACAGGGTTAATTTAGTGCAGTCAGAAAAGAAGGGTCCACTGTGTCTGAGAATTACCACCTAAAGACTCTATTTTGGTGCCTTGGAAGATGTTCAGTGGTTCTTGGAACGTACCGCGCTGGAATGTCGATTCGATGGCCTTTGGTTTGGCAGCCAAATCGATCGCCGAGTGACAGGTGTCGCGGACGCCGCTTCCTTCGATATGATGTATGCCGCAGTCGATGGCGAGAGCTTTTAGGATCCAGGAATTGTAGTAGTTAAGCAGAGACAAAGCGGGTGGTCTCAGTGGGAGTGTAGGTTGTAGTGGTGGAAGCAGCGTAGGGGGCCGTGGTGAAGGTACATCCTTAGTAATCGATTTCGGAGATGATTCTCCAGAGCCTTCCACTGCTGCTTCTGTTGTTGATTTTCCTCGGCTGCTGCCAACACTAAGGTCCAGGGCGAACATTTCTAAAGGATTAGGAGCAAATATCATTCTTTCAACGTCTTGGATGCATTGATCCTCTCAGCAATGACAAATTTTTCACCTTTAGTGCTTAGCCATGCCTCGTGAAAGAAGTTATCTTGGCAACTATTTAGAAACATGCTTTGTTTAAATCAATGATGCGGCGATAACTTGACGTGATTGGTCAGCTTTTCAGGTGCACTTTAAGAGTGCTGATTATTGATTTTAGCAATGCAGTAATTATTAATGGATCGGAGTGGTTATTTTGCAATTAGCAAACTAAAAAATATTTAAATGAAACTAATTCTTTAGGTAGACAAATCTTGTGCCATTGGTTTTACTAATGGCCTTTGAATTCGTAAATCTCTTTAAACATTGGTCTTTTCCGTTCGACAGTGTGCTCTGAATGTACCATTCAAACGTTCAATTAAATCTTTGAAGTATAAATGGATGGTTTAACTCTAGAACCATCGTAAATCTATACGTTTGTGTGCGCTGATTGGTCAAAATGAGCATTTGATTCCTGCAAAATGCTTGGAAGGTCGATCGTAGGCATGTTGAAGCGGATCGTATGAATCAATCCGCTTTGCTGATGAATCTCTAAGCAATCGATTACTACGAAGTATTCGATCTATTCAAACTGCAGAAATCGATGCGGACTAGTCGAGATCAAGCATATTGAGAGAAAGTGCCGTTAATGTTAGCAATTTGAATGACAGTTGACCGGTTTGGAAGATGAGCTGTAGACGATTCCAACAGCTTCTCGTAGGATATCAATCGATGCTCAAGTCGGGCATACTGACCTGCAGAAGTCTTGAATCCATTTCCTAACTAAATCTTTCTTGAGGCCTGCGCAACCGTGGAAGTTGTTGAAGGATTCAACGTGCAGGTCGCCACTTCTGGTCGAATGGATAAACTAGCCTGATTATGGCCTTGCAACATTGTTCCCTAGACTTGCCGACATGCAAACTGTGTCACATTCAGGCGCGTTGACGCGAAGTAACCGCTTTCAGACGGCAGCCAAGACAGAGAATGTTTTGAATGTCACGTCGTCGATGTTTTTCTTATCTCTCTCTTTCTCGCTCTTTCTCTCGCGACGTCGTCACCACACTCGGTAAATCCTCCTTCCGTACGGGTACAAAGTATCCGCTTGGCTGTCACCGGACATGCCAACACGCACACGAGCGCACGCTGGCGGTCTAGCGTCGCTTTGGTGTTGAGTCGGACGAAGCTGGAGGTGAGTGGTGGTGGTGGTGGGAGGGGGGGGGGTTCGGATGCAGTCGTATCGGGTTTCACTCTTACATGTTCCTGGGGTTGTGTAAGCAGAACGTGCGCGCGCAGGTGTAGAGTGGTAAGTTGATACATGCATCCGTGGCGAACTTGATACTACCGTACCAGTAGTACGAGAGAATACGACACCGAAACCGGACAAGACCGGTGCAGTCTTCCTGCTGATCCATCCTGCTGGGTTCGAGCCCACGCACGACCACTCACATTTCCAGGGCGACGCTAAGTGCGGAAAGACGTCTACCGCCGCCTGCAGCTGCTACCATTAAGTTAACAGTGTGATCGGTGACGAAAATGATTGATCGGCTGAGACTGATCCAATCAGAATCCAACAACTTTTTTGAATCAATTCCATCTTAATTTGGAACGGTTCAGCCCACGCATGTTATGGGAACCGCTGTTCTAACCTTTCGACGACCTTGTCTACGTGTGTGTAACTATGGTCACATCTACCCTCTGCTCTGATTGGTGCTCGTGTGTTCGGGTCTTTGACGTGAACTCATATCACCAACGGTGACATCCTTATTAATAAACACAAAATACCCTACCACTTTTGTCACATGGGATCCATTTTTTTGAAAAAATAAAGCTACATTTGATCACATTTGCACAAAATGACAATTTATTGAATTGAAATCTGATACTAGATGTGGTCAATAACTCAATTTCAATTGCGTTAAACTAATTGGCAAATTAGTGCTAACTTGTGCAACTAAATTACGTGCAATCACTTCCTGTTTTTAAAATTAGTGAAATTTTTAAACATTTCTTTGGTTTTTAAGGAAAATTAACGATAGGTTTATAGGCGAAAGTAAAAATTAAAGGCTTTTTACGAAGTCAAATATCATTTCTAAAATCGTTTATATGCAAATGGGGAACAGCTATTAAAATCAGGAACAAACGGTGTTATAATATGGGGAAAATTCCGTATCTAGCACATGTTTCAACAGTTGATCGTAAAACTACTTAATGAAATAATTTTCCAACGAAAATGCGGCAAAAAACAACTAAAAAAAGAGCAAAAAAAGTCACGAACCCTCTCAAGTTTGTTTTTGTACCGCGGTTTGTTAAGAAGATGGTTCTGCCACGGCCGCAAGGGTGGTAGTGCGGACGCATTCGTGTCTCCGCCCATCTGCCAATGAGAAGCGCCCATCACTGGTAGCGCGCGAAGAGGGGGCGACGCATCCTGTCATCTCATTGGCCAATGAAGTGATGTTGCGCGTGCACGCACGTGCTTCGTAAAACAACGTGCATTGGCACTGCGGCACGTGAATCGAACTACGGGAGTCTTGCTTGCCCTCAATCAAGCACCTATTCCTCACGTAGCATCCATCATTTCATCACTGGAATCGTAGCCAATGGTTCCATGAGCCGAAGATCGGACTTCTTGCGACAAATCTCACGCCTGCCAAATAGCGGCACGTGATTTTATGTCAAACTTCATTATTACCGTGGAGTTGCCTCCATAGTTTTTAGCTGGGGATAATTTAGCTTGCTCAATTCGAGCTAGTGCATTTTGCAGCGATTAGATGGTCAGGCCATTCCAGGCACAGTGGAGGTTTCTGAACCCTTTCGACACAGTTGGTAAGTTGGAATAGTCCAAATGGTGCACTATAAACCAGGTCGGGTTCAGCTACAAGACCAGTTCAACCAACCAACATCTACTAATCTGTAAATGCGAGGGCGATTGGCCGCGAAGTGGACAAGAACACCTAACAGGATAGAGATTCATTCCCTTAAATTTGGTTCAGAGCTGGTATTTGAAATAAAAATTCAACGATTACTAGAGCCTTAGGACTGCGCCATAAAGGATTTAAGAAGTTCTCTTAAATCGGCGTCACATTTGGGCATACAATTTCGAAAATACCGACTCTCTGGTTGACCTCTAGAGCATGAATATGGCCTAATCCGTGATCTAATGCATAAATATACTACTAAAAGGTGGTTAAATGAATACATTTTTACAAAATCTGACAGCATTAAGGCATTTTAATCACCCTAGGTACATCAGGAAGATGTATAAACGGATTTTGCAGAGTTAGAAAGAATGGACGAAGTAAAACCATAATTTTGGATTTGCTAGCAAGGTCAGGTTGTGTTCGGCTACAAGATCGGGTGCCATTGAAGGTCATTAATGAGAGTAGCACCGAATGGTTGATTAATTTGAATGTGATTGGCTGGTTGCGTATAATTGGATTCTGTTGGTAATGATTGCATGAATCCAATCCACATTGGTAGTGACATGAAGTGACCTTGAAAAATGTGTTTAATTGAGTCAATCAATGTCCGAATTCAGCGGTCAAACGGTGCATTTCCGTCATTAAAGATTGCTTAAGTTTAAAGCTGGACTAACAACCAAAAGGCTTTTAGGACGGTTGCGTTGATCGTGGGTTATCAAGCAAATGGTTTAAGATAAATCGTCACTCTGGTAATGAAAATGAATTTGCACATGGTAGTGGGCAATATCTGTGAACCAGTGATCACGAGTGGATAGATTGACAAGAGACACTGGACGGAGACTATTCAACATGAAATATCTTCGAAATCCTACCAAATTGGCATCTGATGAATCCCGTCGTCCAATGAAGGCACTGGTTTTTGTCTGGTAGCGGAATGCAGAGCCAATGATTGCAAGAAGGCAAATGTAAACTGGCCGCCAAAAAACGAAGTAGAAATAGATTAGGCATCAGTTTATTGTCTTAGGCAACTTGGATTCGCTAGTAAATTAAGCTGCGTACATTTCGACGAAGCTGAACACACAGAAGCGTGGGTTTCCACAGCCACATCTCACTTTGCCGGCCAATGAAGGATCGCGTTGGATCGCGTTCCAGCTGGACATGAATGCTGGACAGTATCGATGACAGAGGCTCAGTTGGAACATCCAATGACATTTGTGGTGATTGCAGAGAAGTGGTCTTCTACGAAGTTCTTCCACGTGGCCAACCAATCACGGTTGCGAATTGCTATGAACGACACACCTAGAGCAATGCTGAACCGCCAGCATAACGTGGAATTGTGGTCGATAGAAGAGGCATTATCGTCACCATGCCGACAGCAGGCCATATTTTGCAAGCCGGAGAAAAGCAATAACTCAGTGAGATGAAATGCAAACTCAGCCAACAACACCCACCATACCCCCAACTTACTTCATCTGTTTTCTTCTTTGCTGAATTCTTCTTCCAGCAATATCGCCGATTCCGTGGAAGTCAGATTGTACCTTGCCAAAACCTCTGACCAGCAACCACGTGGCGTCCGCACAATTGTTACCAAATAACTTGTAAGTCGTTGGCTTTGAGTTTCGGGAAATGATGGTGCGTTTAGCGTTGATAATCTTTGGATCGACCTACACATGCCTACATTTGTGAAAAGATAACTGCCACCTCCATTAACTGTATGTACACTAATTTAAGATTTGTTCATTTTACTTGTTAAGACAAACGGCCAGTAAGCAGACACAGTCTGACATGAATTAGCAAATCTTCATCGCTTGGCATAAACTTCGACGCGATTGGTTGATGGGCATGAGAATTGCCAACCAGCCAATCAAATTGGATTACAGCTTGCCAACAGGTATAAAATCCTTGAATTTCACGGAACTTTTGCTCACATGCGTGTTTATTTTTAAATAAATAAAAAAGCACGTTTTTCTTTCTGATTCATTGGGTTGCATTTAAAATATTTTTAAAAGGCTCGAACATAACCGAATGTACTTGGACTTGACCATAGAAAATTTACATGTAATCGAGGTGGTTTCGCCATGAATGAAATAAATATTGTTTGCATAACAAGTGTCAATCTAAATGCCAAATCTGGCGGCACTTTATCGGAAAGTATCGGTTTCTGATAGCCTACTGGCACAACCATCGATTTTCGCTTATTCCCTGACAGTTGAAAGCTGGTTTAAACCGTAGATTTGAAATTGAATTCTAACTTTCGAATCGATTTTATCAATCTGGATGAGAAGGTATATAGCAGATTCTGATCAGTTGGTTTCAACAAAATTATTTCAGATAGTGCGATAAACTAAGATATTGCTTCTCAATGGGTCAGTGACATTTTGCGAAATTGTAAATGTAATTTGGCATATCCAACATTCTCTATGAAAGATCTCACGCACATGTGGATAAAATCAAGTTCCGCATGGTGATTTTAGAACTGTCCTGAATTGAATTGATCAGTTTAAATGCGATCCAATTTGCAACCAATACTTCAAGGACACACTTCACAAAAGCCAATCAAATTGCAGTACGAAATAAAACTGTTTCCTCCCCACAAACGGATACTGGTCTTAAATTTGTAAAGCAAAATGTTCGACTAATAAGTTTGTTTATTGGTATCACTTGGCTCTTTTGTTATTTCAGCACTGATTTTCTCGAGGTTTGAAGTAAGTTAAACAAAGATAAATGTTTATTAGAATGAAGGTTTGTAATGGAAATAAGTGCATCAATTGATGATTTGAATTTCTGGAAAACTTAACATTATTTACTGTTTTTATTGACATTCAAATCATGACTTGCACACTGGTTTGAAATTGATCAATAAAATCACAACTCTAAGCCAATCAGATTCGCGCGATATTTCAAACGTTAAGCAGGGTTGCCAACTGCGAGTTACCGTGCTCACCTATGATTGGCTACGGTAAGTGTAAGTTTACTTTTAATTGGCTTCGTTCACAATGACCTCTAACGCTCACCAATTTGGTGGTGATATATGGTGTATAACATCATTGACCAGGCCATTGATATGGTTTAAAATTATTATAAGTTGTGACTTAAAGAAACTGTTTCCGAATACTTTTAAACAACGGCATTTTTATATAAAAAAATTATACATTTGTCTAGGTGTCATCTTTTGGTGCTGTATTTATCCGTGGAAATATCTGTCGTGAATTAAAATTATTCGTAAATTTAAAGTCCTACTACTCGATTTTAAGTACTAATTATATTGGTTGACCAGAACGACGTGACGTCGAGTAAATGTACGGCTTTGTCTGCTTGTACACCACATACAGATTTAAATTATGCATTTTAATGAGTACAATTTTTAGATCTTGTAGTACTTTCCAAAAAACGTCCCTTCGAGTACCGAAATCAGCACGTCAGTACGGTTTTTAAAATTCTAGTAATCTCCATTTACGCTGACGCAATCTTCAAAATATTATAACTTGACTTTT